ATCTAACTATGGAAACAACCTAGATGCCCTTCAACAGAGGTATGGGTAAAGAAAATGTGGTACCTATACACAATAAAATATTAATCAGCTTTAAAGAAGAATGAAATTATGGCCTGCACAGGTAAATGAATGGAACTAGAGAATATCATGYTATGTGAAGTGAGCCAATCCCCCCAAACCAAAAGCCAAATGTTTTCTCTGATAAACGGATGCTGATCCATGGTGGGGCAGGGGAATAGGGAAGAATGAAGGAAGTTTGGTTTGTGTAGAGGGAAGTCAATGGAGGGGTAGGGTTGTGGGGATGGGAAGGACAGTAGAAAGAGACATTATTACCCTATTTACATGTATGATTACACTAGTGGAGTGACTCTGAACCATGTACAACCAGAGGAATGAGAAGTTGTGCTCCACTTGTGTACAATATGTCAAAATGCATTCTACTGTAAAATAAATAAATTAATTAATTAAAAAAAACTTGGGTAGAACAGTTTCTAGGAACYGTTTGATCAGAGCAGATTCAAGAGGGAATGAGAGGAAAGAGAAAAAATGAAACTAGGCAATACTTTTTAAAGAAAAGGGAAACAGAAAATTAGCAAGTTGAAGAGTAACATGGGGTCAAGAAAGAGTACAAAGTAAGGTGGTATTTTCATTTCCACCTTGGACAAGTAAAATCATGGATACTATTAATTGAAGTCTGGCAGTATTTCTCAAGGCATATTTGTACAACCCTCTATCTAAACACAAAAGTCCCRTATATGATAGATTAGGAAACTGCCGCTTAGATAGGTTAAATGACTTAAATGACTTGTTCATGGATTTGAATTCAGGTCCACCTAAATCAACTATGCTTTTTATGGCTTGAACTATGTTCCTCCAAAAAGATATGTTGAAGTTCTAACCTCTAGGACCACTTCAGAATGTGATCTTACTTGGAAATAGGATCATTACAGACATGGTAAAGATAAAGTCTCACTAAAGTAGGGCAGGCCCCTAATCCAATGTGACTGGTGGCCATATGAGGACAGAGACAAGTAGGGAGAGGGCTCTATGATGACAAGGCAGAGATTGGAATGACAGTTTCAAGACAAGGAYGAGCAAGGACCAGAAACTAGGAAGAAGCAAAGAAAGATTCCCCTATAGGATTCAGAGGGCACGGGGCAGCTTGAGYCTTGATTTCTGACTTCCAGCCTCCAGAACTATGAAACAATACATTTCTATTGTTTTACACAACCTCCTTTGTGGTATTGTCTTAAAGGATCCCAGGCAATTAAGGCAGCACAATGGTACCTCCCACACGGACAATGCCTAATATAAATTGCTTAGTTAGTATCTTCTGATGGACCAAAATGAAACTCTGAAAGAAAGAACCTGAGTTTGCCATTCTGCTATGTGAACACATCATCAACAACCGTTGAACTTAAAATCTATTCATTTTTAGATGGTAAAAAGTGCACCATTTGCCATCCAAAGTACCACATCATACAGGAACATTTAAAATTGCCACATCTTCATACGGAAGATGTTTGTAATAAAATCTAGGATAATTTCAGAAAGAATTGAGAATAACTTACCTAAAAAAATATCATGAATAATGCTGTCATCTGATAATGTTGATAGGTTTTTAACCCCTGCATTTGTTTCTATCATTCCGGCACTGGTGAAATTTTGATAATAATAGTATATACTATATTTATCCCATAGTATTAAATTTGGCATTGCTGAAAATAGAAACCGTGGAATTAAAAAAGTGTCAATGGGAACATCTAACATAAAGTCTTGGTACACCCACTCTTTTGAATCTTCATTATACGTCACTAAGTAAATCTTCTTATTGGCAGTGCATGTTGTGCTGCAGTAATTTACAAACACGGCAATTTCCAGAGGGTGCCCTGTATATTCAAGATTGTGTATTGTCAGAGTACAGGTTGGTGGGAGATTTAAAAGAGCTTTCAGGTCTGTAGTAGTTGTCAGTTTCATATATCTATCTGGAGAATATCCAAGGTAAATTTCATTTTTTGTCCAGATCGCTAGATCGCTTTTTTCCCCTTTAGTCTGTGAAAACAAAATTGAAAACGATTAGAAAAATCTTCAGTTTTAGGGATAAGTCTAACAATTCCTATGTTCTAGTTTACTACATTTAAAAATAAAAGGTAGGGGGCTGAGGGTATAGCTCAGTGGTAGAGAGGGTACTTAGCATGCATGAAAACATGGGTTCAATCCCCAGCACCAAAACATAAATTGACAAAGTGAAAGGTAGTAATTACCAAGCTCAGTTTKGTTTTAGTATATTTTGTAACAATACTTCAGGCAGAGAAGTACATTAAATTAAAATGTATCACATTTTATTTAATAAAAATATATCACATTACATATAATCATAAAAACTTGTCCATTAGATTTATTCTTCCATATGCTGTTTCTATCCAATTAATAAGCATAAATTCCCTTTTAACTAGTTTTTCTTTTAATTTTTATTTGTTCTTTTGTTATATAGAACAGTAGAATATATATTGACATATTATACATACAGGTAATATAACTTCCCATTCTTGTGGTTGTAYATGATGTGGAATTACACAGGTAATATATATGAAAAATAGGAAATATAAGTCCAATTCATTCTACTGTCTTTCCTGTTCCCATTCCCCTCTCCCCTCCCATCATTTCTTCTATCCTCCCTCCATGTGTGTTAGCATCCATATATCAGAGAGAACATTTGGCCTTTTGTTTTTTKGGGATTGTCTTATTTCRCTTAGCATATTMTCCAGATCCTTCAATTTACTGGCAAATGCCATAATTTCATTCTTCTTAACAGCTGAGTAATATTCCATTATATATTTTCTTTATCCATTCATCTGTTTGAAGGGCACCTAGGTTGACTCCATAGCTTGGCTATTATGATTTTAAGTCCTTTGGGTACATGCTGAGGAGTGGGATAACAAGGTCAAATGGTGGTTCCATTCCAAGTTTTCCAAGGAAACTGCATACTGCTTTCCAGAGTGGTTGCACCAATTTGCAGTCCCACTAACAATGTATGAGTATACCTTTCTTCCTCATATCTTTTCTAACATTTATTGTTTTTTTTTCTAAGAGAGAGAGAGAGAGAGAGAGAATTTTTTTTTAATATTTATATTTTAGTTCTCGGCGGACACAACATCTTTGTTGGTATGTGGTGCTGAGGATCGAACCCGGGCCGCACGCATGCCAGGCGAGCGCGCTACCGCTTGAGCCACATCCCCAGCCCAACATTTATTGTTAATTGGGTTCTTAATATTTGCCATTCTGACTGGAGTGAGATGAAATCTCAGTGTAGTTTTAATTTGGGTTTCTCTAATTGCTAGAGATGAAAATTTTTTCCGCCTCTGTCCTCTGCATGCTGTTGTGAGATACGTGGCTTCTTTCCCATACAAGGGTATTGTACAATGTGACTTGTGTGACTTTCAGTTTGTCGGGCAGTGCCTTTGATCTCTAAACATTCTGTAACCAAATACGCCTCATTCCTCCTAAAAATACAGGTTCCTTTAATTCCCTTATCCTTCCACTTTGCTCATGAAGGGACTGCTCTGGCCATGGCAATGGTGTGGTGCTGGGGTTTCTTCTTTATTTTATTATATCCAATCTCCTGAGTCCYCAGTCTGCTTTGTCCAGTATTAAATTTCAGTAAAGCCCCAYCCCCTGCCGTTTTTTGTTCACCCACCTTGCAGAGAAGCTGCCTGTCTGCTTTYTTGGTTTCATGCCACAGAGCAACCAGGAAAGTCACCTTCTCTATTCTGCCATCTTGAAACCCTCCCAATTTCCTTTTCATTCTTTAATACACAATCTTTAATGCATCATCTGGCTAGGAGGGCCCCTTTGACTTTGAGGTTTATTTAAGTCAAAATATAAGAACACCTCAATTTTTGAATTCTAGATTCCTTGGATATCAGATAGAAGGGAGAAATTAAAACCTTAGACTATTCAGTACTGTTGGGAGTCCGCCCGGCTCCAAAGACTAACTTCCCCATCCCCCAAGAAGAGCCGTCCAATGGTGAGCCCTGCTGGCTCACATGATCCTTACCCACCAATCAGAGCCCTGCTGGCTCACCTGATCCTACCCACCAATCAGACTAGCCCTGCTGGCTCACCTGATCCTTACCCTCCAATCAAAAATCACCCCATGCCAACTGTCAAACCACCCCTGGCTCTATAAATATGCAGATCTGTTCCTCAATAAACGGGCATTTGCTCCGATGATAAGCCTTGTTCGTTCTTTCAAGTASTATCCTTTTATGGACACAGGCAGTAAGAGGGAAAGGGCATTCAGAATCTGAAATTTGTTGGACCTCATTCACCACAGAACCAAGGTCCCTGTCTCATCACCCCGTCTACCTCTAATTCTTAGGAATTTCTATTTAAAATGTAATCTCTTTGTTTATGACAACCCAAAGGAGTCTTTTGAGCATCTCTTGTCTGCCTAATTTTAATTAAAGTACATGAAGTATATTACTTTAATGTAATAGCCTGTACTGAAACAAAATCTAGGCAGRTGTCAATCTGGGGATCAAAGGAAAAGATAATTTGGGTTTAAATATCACTTTACTAAATGAACATTCCTTTTAAAGTATAGAGTATGTTTTTGGAAATGAGTGTATGAAACCCTTAAAAGAGGAAATAGAGCCAAAATAATGGGTGTTTCATAGAAAAGAGCCATTGTCATTCTCACTCTTTTTTTTTCTTTTTTCAAATTGGGGATTGAATTCAGGGACACTCCACCACTGAACCACATCCCCAGCCTTATTTTGTATTTTACTTAGAGACAGSTTCTCACTGAGTTGCTTAGCATCTCATTGTTGCTGAGGCTGGCTTTGAACTTGCAGTCCTCCTGCCTCAGCCTCCCAAGCTGCTGGGATTATAGGCATGTGCCACCATGCCCAGGGCTATTCTCATTCTTGGTAGAGGAATGGGAACATGCTAACCACATGATAGATGAGAATGCCAAGGAGCCTCAGTCATGGAGTGAGTTTTCATTCAGACACTCTTTCCAAGGACATCAGAAAAGGTAGGGGAGCTGAGAKATCCTCCCGAGGCATTCATGACCTCACCCAAATACAGGGCAGTGACTCTCTGCAGGTAGGGAGTAGGCAGACAGCAAGACAGGAAAGTTGAGAGGAACCCATCTTCATCTGGATGCTCAGCTCTATGGCTGGGATTGGGATAAGCTGAGAGTAACTCTCCCTCTGAGTGGTGACTGGCCTTCACCTAGCATATATCCTTGCCAAGATTAGAGAAGGAGGGAGGAAAGAAAGAAGAATGAGAATATCTCCACAATGCATGACAAACAGAAGCAGATGAGAGAGGAACAATAATTATCCAGGAAGCAAAAAACCTACAAGCTAGCATATAAAATAGAGATAATTGTCTCAGGGCTTAGAAAGTTGGTGGTTCAGTTATAAACCATGAAGAGATATCTGGAATCTTATCAGTGCTAAGATTCCAAGCACAGCTAAAGAGAAAATAAATATGGCAAAAGTGATGAAGGATCTAACAGAAAAGATGGGCAACATGAGAGAAGACTTGGAGCATTTCAGTCAAGATTTGAAAATGAGAGCAAACAATCAACCAAAAATTTAAAAAGTAAAATTTTGAAATAAAAAATATCAGGAATAAAAAAAATTATCATATGGATTTAAGAGAAAACTGGAAGAAGTATAGRAAAAGAGCAGTGAACTCAAAGAAAGATTAACAAATAGCCTGTATATGAAACCAAAATTTAAAAAATAGTAAATAATTAACAGGTTGTCTGAGATCTATGGAATAATATGAAATGGACCCACAAATGTGTTTTGGAAATCTTAGGAGAGGAAAAAGAGGATGGGGTGTAAAAAGACTTGAAATGCTAATGGTCAAGGACATCCCAAAATCAATGAAATTTGAAAGCTCAATAGAATGTTAAATAGGATAAATAAAAATGAAAGCATATTCCAGGATCATCATGAAGCAGCTTCACACCAAAGAAAGAGAGTAATCATAAAAACAGCTAGATGGAAAAAGAAACATCATATACTTGAGAAAAATGATACAAATAAAAACTGGTTTCTTACCAAAAAATGATAGAGGCCATAAAATAATAGAATGACATTTTTACAAGTTGCTTTAAAAACAAAAACAAACCAAAAAAAAATCACCTATGATCCTATCATTTTATATTAAAAAATGAGAGTGAAAACCACCTTTATACAGACAAATGGAATTTGGGTAGATGGTGCACATCTGTAGTCCCAGGGCTTGGGAGGCAGAGGCACAAGGAATGCTTGAACCCAGGAGTTCAAAACCAGCTTGGGTGAGACCTTGTCTCAGAAAAACAAAAAAAACAAAACAAAACAAAACCCCACAGCAACAGCAAACAAACAATGCTGAGAGAACTTTCAATTTAAGAAATTTTAAAGCTTGAAGGTAAAGGAAAACGGAACCATGAGGACCTCTGGATGTGCAGAAAACAAGAATACTCACCCAGCAGGGTATAGATAAAATGCTTTATTTTGTTATCAGTTCATATCTATATCTACCTATCTTTGTGACAATTGACTACTTAAAGTAGAATATCAATGACATATAGTGGGACTTTAAGCATAGTTATGGGTAAAATTTGAAACAAGAGTACAAAGGATGGATGAAGGTATAAAAGGGTTTATATACTTGTAAGGTCTTACACTGATATGAAGTAGTATATTGTTTGAAATTAGACTCTAATAATTAAGTATGCTTACTGTAAATCCAAATACAGCCATTAAAAAGTAGTTTTGATAACAAGAAGGCAAGATAGAAATACCAAAAAGTGCATGATTCATCCACAATGAGGCGAGAAAGAAGAAACAAAGGAACTCAAACCAAATGGGATTAATAGAAAACCAATGCCAAAATAGACTTAAACTCAACCATACAACAGTTACATTGAATCTAAGTAGACTAAAAGTATTTAAAGGTAGATGTTGTTACTCTGACCAAAAAAAAAAAAAGCAAAATCTATATGTGATGTGTAAGGAAACATGCATTAAATATAAAGGCACATACAG